TCATGTTTAGCAACAAGCAGGTACCATGAGTAGCCCATATCGACGAGGTCAACCGTAGCTGTAAGTAGCTGGAACTGGCTATGCCTTCGCTTTCGGTGTTGGTTATTACCCTACTCAGAAGTGTCCACAAACCTTCAATTCAAGCAGTAAGAGCGAGAACAACAACAACAACAACAACAACAACAACAACAACAACAACAACAACAAAAGCTGGCCTGTTTGACTTTGTGCCGGCGTAGGAAGGGATTGTCCTGGCAGGGAGTGTTGTGGACGGCCCCCGCGCCTCCCTAGGATAGAACCGCGCTTGAGACCTGCATCAAGTGGGAAGAACACGCAGAACAGCATTGGCCTGCTGATGAAGCATTCTGGGCACGATCGATAGGAATGGGTGAAGTCAAACCGACACGTCGTACTCCAGCACCTCCTAAACCCAAAGCCCTAAACACCTGCAGGCATCTTTGGAATGCTGGGTCCCGCTCAACCTTCTTATTCCCTGACAAGGCAAAAGGGTACAAGCGCGTAAACCCTGTCGTAGAACGTCAAAACCCCGAATCCGAAACCGCAAACCTGATCCCCAATTTCCCTAAACCCGACACCCTGACCCCAAATTGGAAAAACACCCGAAACATCTGCTTTCGGCGTCCTCGAAATCGTAGGACAGAGGCGTGTCGACCCTGGAATTAGCCGGGGTTCAGGGTGCTGTGTTCAGGGTAAACGGTTTAGGGCTCAGGGTTTGGATAATATAGGCGTCTTCATAAATAGAACGGGGTTTTGGGGCCCATTATACTATAGATATGATGAGGAACCCCCGAAACTATAAGTGGAGTTATAAGTCCCTTAATGTGGGTTGTAAGTATAATTACCCTACTTATAGCCGTACTTACAACTACCCATGAACCTCCAAGCAAGGCCCCAATATTGTAGAGTCAGGTTTTCGGATCCCAGAAGGTTCCAGGCTTTCATGGTTCGAGGTTCAAGCGTAGCCTGTAGGCATCAGAAGAACTCTGCACCCTAAACCCTACACCCTACACACCAGGGCACTCGTACCCCGGACCTCCACAAAGGAATCCAAGTAGAATCCGTATCGAACCCTTATACTAACCTGAAGACCCCTTCAACCCTTTAAGTAGCTGTTACGGTGAAGGATACCGTATAGAAATCGTATAGGATGCTTATCGAACCATTCGTTCGGGCGTCACGGTGGCCGAATTCCACGTTCAGGGTTCCGGGCTTCAGCTTCACCATTGAGATTAATTGATCAATTATGTATCTTACGTAGGTTAAGGCCTTTTCTTCACGTAGGTTATGGTTTAGGGCTCGGGATTTGGGGTATAGGGCTTGGGGCTTGGAGCGTCCAGAAATTTGGAGTTAAGGATGCTGTGAAGTTCAGACTGAGTGAAGTGCTGGAGCTTTTCACCTTTAAAACCAGACCAGGAGCCTTGGCCTTGTAAGCCCGATGCTGTTAGGCCCTGTTTAACTTGAGCCCTGTCAAACCCGTGAAGTTAGCCCCTGAAAAAAAAAGCGGAGCCTCAAAGCCCCAGACTGTTGGCTGCGAAGCTCTGGGCTTTGGGATTCCAAACCTTTCAGCCCAAAGCGCGGAAGTCCCCTCAGGATTCCAGGAACTGCATTTCTCGCCTCCGAAACCCTGCGGTGCGGAGCTCAGACGACTCAGTTTGGAGCGTACGGCTTGGTGCGTTAGTGCTTTGCGGATTGCATACAGTAATACAGCTGCGGGATTCGGGATACCATTTGCTTTCTTGTCTCCCAACACCCAGCATAAGGCTTGAGCGACAAGAACCTGCCTTGCACACCCACCGCAGTCAAAGAGAACAGGAGCTTCGGGTTCAGAAGGGTGGGCCCCAAACACTTAAACCCCTACATCCCAAACCTGTAAACCCCTAATCAAGAACGTAGAGGAACTAGAGTCATCAAATCCTCTGCAAACGTATGTCACAGAGGAGTGAACCTAACCCGCTTATCGCTGCCCGAGCTTCCCCCGAAGCTCCGCCCCAGTGCCTGGTGAAGTATGCCGGCGGCATGTAAGGCGCCATGTGTGAGGCGTCCCCCAGGAGCTCCTTCTGGAAGAATGGGTTCACAGGGTTTCTCGGGTACAAAGTCCGAAGATGACGGAGGACGACGAAGACCAGACCCCGAAACACAAGCAGAGCTCCCGTGTCAGCTCCCAACCTGCCAAGACCAAAGCAATAAGCACAGCCAAAGCCAAAACCATTCGATTGCCAACAAGAATTGTTGGTCCTGCTGTCAGTAAATTGAAGCTGAAGGGCGTGAACCCCAGAGCCCAAGCCCCCGCCCGGACTCTCGAACCGCTTGCTGACGACTCTGTTTTTTTAGTTGTCCCGTGCAGGTCTGTTCGTGGTCGCTGTTGCGTCGCCGGCGACGGCGCGCAGGCTAGGCAGGAAAATCCCACCGACACGCTATGCACGGGAAGGTCCGGATCAGGTACTGGAGCTCCGTCGGGTCGTATGTCTGTTATGAACACCTTTTGTCTATGGGCTTCGGGTTCATGGCTGAGGGTAAAGCTATGTGAATTCTCGACAGTGCTATTCAATTGCGCTTCGATCGTAAGGCAAACCCCAAAACCCCATAAATCGAACTGCCGGTGGCGAGCCTTCTCGATGGAGACAACCGGCTTCTCCTGCGAGTGAAACCCTAGGCCGCATGAACCTCAGGGTCCAAATATATGTAATTCGTCCACTTTCAAACACCAAGCTACATTGTGGGTTAGGATACTGGAAATAATACGAACGGGGCAACTAGTAGTGACGCTTGTGAGATACTGACATAGACCGAGATAATGATGATGACCTTGGCACCCATAACGACAACGACCAGGACGATGATGATGATGATGACGACCATGATGATCCTGATGATGACCATCATCAGCATCAGCAGCAGCATGAGCATCCAGAACCCGATGTTCAGCCGTAAACCCAAACCCTGAGCTGAATCCCAATGCTAGACCATGAAGACTGACAGCGTCGACCCCGAAATGATGCGCACACTCAGCGGTCTCCCCATGGTGGAGTCTGGCACCAGGGACGAAGAGAAAGTCTGCAAGAACCTGGCAATGCAATACAAGTATAGGGCCTTAATTTATGATTAGAGCAGGGCATTGGGATATACTGTGGTATCATTGCAAAAAACGATCCAACATAGTATTGGAAAAAAACGCGGCTTCAAAATCAAACGGTTCTCTAAACGACGGTCCCGTGTAAATCACGCCACACCGAAACGTAAGGACACCGAGAACACTTAGGATGTTCTGGAAAACGATACAGCCTGAACCCTAACCCCACCATAACCTGTCCAAACTTACTTTTCTTGGGCGCTTACAGTTTCTATACTCGGGCTAGGATAATAACCGACAAACTGCTAGTTTAAGGACCTTGATCCTCAGAACCTGCAACCCAAGACCATCCACCCTCAACCCCGCAAGCCCGACATTTTCCATGGCGCCCGCACACTTTGAGTGCACCTCTCTTGTGCTCTGCCCAGCCCCTTGAGAGGCCGCGGGGTCCGGTGATCAAGACGGGGACCCTCAAACTGATTGGAGGATGAGGAGACATGTAGAGTCTAGGGTGTAGGGTTAAGTGTTTAGGGTGTGGGGTTGAGTTTACCGTGTAGGGGTTCCGGGTTTAGGGTTCAGGGATAAGCGTTTGAAGTTCAGGGTTAAGAGTTTGAAGTTTAGCACTTAAAGGGCTTAAAGTCTGTACCGCTGTACTTAGTGTACATACATCCCATCTACAGCTGCCCATGTGTTAAAGAACAAGTTACCGGCAAAGGGAGCTCGTACTAGGGGTTTCAAAGAGAAGAACTCTAGCTGCCCAAAGTCCAATCAGAACCTTTGCCTTTCACACCCCAACTGCCCTCTAAAACCTGCAGATGCCACCCTAAATGACCCTACATCCTGAAATCCTTAGCTTAGCACCTAAACCCCACAAACCCCGTTTCAACCCGCAAAGTAACCCCCTGATGAATAAACCCCTCTCCGCTCCCTTAGGGATTGTAATGGGATCTTTATATGAAAGCCTTTTCAGACAAGCAGCTCATTCATCGGGGATCTCCTATACACGGTGAACCCTGTACACTCCTTGTTCACACCCCTTGCAGGGACCCTACGATAGCCCTACTTAAACCCTAAACCCTATCCTACTTAACCCTAAAACCCAAGCCCTACGATAGCCTACTTAAATCCGAAACCTTACTAAAGCCCAATTAAACCTTAAACCCTACGATAGCCCCGCTTACGAAACACAGAAGCACCGAGGGGTCCCCGTTCGGAGGTGAGACGTTCGAGCCCAACAGGCCCGAGGCTGGAGACGCAGCTTGGGGCTTTACTGCTTTAGGGTTGAGGGTGTTGGGGCTGTCAAAGTTTTAGGGCTTAGGGTTTAGGGTGCTGGGTTTTAGGGTTGAAAGATTTTCCTCCCTGCTAACGTCAGAATACCAAGTTTGGTGGAGCATGGATGTCTGTTAGATGTCCATTCAAAATTGGCTGAGGCTTTCGGGCTGTTTACTGTATAGGTTGATGGTTGCGTTGCGGGTTCAAGCCCTCAGAGCCAAATCATTTTGCGGCTTGACCTAGCCTTAACCCTAAAGCGCCCTGAAGCCCTGAGATATGGCTTCGGTTGACAGCTTGGATCGTCAGGGTTTACGGTTTAGGGTACCCTCAGCTTGTGGAGGATTTGGGGGCTTAGGGGATTCCGACATTCTGCTTCGCCCCACGTGCGTCAATTGCAGGATCAGAGGACTCCATTAGCCGTCCTACACGTACTACTGTTCAAACCTACCTGTAAGCCTTGTTGCGAACAAAGACCCCAAACCCTGTATGAACTCTATATACATATACAAACCCTAAAACCCTTAATGCCCTCGCAATCCGAAATCCCAAAACCCTAAAATCCTGAGCCGATCACATCTATCCTAAACCCCTAAGCCCTGCCTCGTCAGGAGTCCCTTGGTTCCCGTCACAAAGAGACTCACGAGCCGAGCCTCCCGTCACGCTTTATGGGTATTGGTTGAGAGTTTGAGGGTTTGGGGGTTGAGGGTTTAAGGGTTCTAGTGGCCCTAGTGTTTAGGGTTTCGGGTTTGGAGCTTAGGGCTTAGGGTCCTGAAATTTCTCTGGGCTTGATCACGCGATGTGAGACCTTGAACCCTGCAAGGTTTGAACTGTTTGAACCGGGTAGCCCTTTCAGGAGAGACAGACATGAGACACTGCGAATATTCGCGGTTTGCTCCCACAAACTTTACCAGCGCCTTCAAAACACCTACGGAAGCCGTAGCACAGCCCGTGATACCGTGGACGTTGCCGTTGAACTGCTGACCCAGAACCTGAGCCCATCCTACCTCTCAACCCAAACCCATTTAAACCCAGGGCCCTCCGAGCCTTGACAGCGCCGCACAATGCGAGTCCTTGGACGGGATCCCAACTCCAACAGAGCATAGGGCAGAGGGCAGGCATTAGGGTGCACCGAGAAACCCCGAAAGCATTGCTTCAGGAATGTGTCTATAAGCAGTCTAGCATAAAGTACCTTTAGTAAGAGGATATTGAAGTGGCCTAAATCCTAAGCCCGCAGTTCTAAACCGTAAACTCTAAGCCCCGCTAAACTCCCCAAACCGCCTCAACCCCTGAATCTGCATATACATAACAACCACACCAATCTTTTGCTATCTAGTCTGCTATTTTACGACATTTTGGTAGTTTGGTTTTGGTAAACCAAACCTCTGTGGGAGCTCAGACTTTGCAAAGCAGACGACTCTGGAGGATTTAGGGCTCTACGGGTTTCGAGTTTTGGGGCCTTAGGATGTCCAGGGGTCTTAGGGTCTGATAAAGAATAACATTTCTATGGAGTCTTAGGGGCTTTTGTGTCTAAGCATTTGGGGTCTTAGAGTTGAGACTTTGTGGGTTTGAAGCTTTAGGGGTCGGGGCCTGATATTTACATATTGTTCCTGGAAGTAAGTACCTGTCTCTCGAAGGAAAGGCGCCTGAGATCCTACTGGTCTTGAGCAGCTAGTGAATCGTCAGATCTTAAACTTGAAGCCCTGCTTCTAACTACTACATAGTACCCTAGTATAGCAGATGGCCTCTAACAACGCATGCTGCCCAAACATGTAGGACGAGCACCACTGCGCAATCTTGCTGAAATTGCGATCCTGCACCATGTTGTGCGCATCGCCTTGTTGCGCGACCCTGCTGCTGGATGCACGCCGATTGTCCAGTCTTGCACAGCCCAGTCCGAAAGCGGGCCGTGCGCGGAGAATATGATCTCCAACGGCACTTGTGACGCACCCGTCGTCGGCCTCGTCCGCGAAGCACAGTGGCTCATCCTTCAAACACGAGAATGTGATTCCCTGCGCCCATTCATTGGACAGGGTCTTCACTATTTGGACAAGTAAGGCGCTCGCGCGCTGCCAGAAACTGGGTTCGGATTGCCCATGGCCACCTGTGATTTCTCACGGGGCGCGGAAGACTTCAACAGCGATCTTTCCGGAGGAGCTCCGGTCCGGAAGGGAAGGAGAACTTGCGGCTTCACATGTTGCGATTCATTGTATGAATTGTATGAAGTCAGACTACTTGCAAAGAAGTTCGAGGCCTCACCCAGTTGACGATAGCATATTTCGCGGTGGAGCCTCCTGGACAATTATACCCAGACGCGACAAGATCTGGACAATGCTACTGAAACCGCTGCAGGACAGAGGCATAAACACCTTCAGTGACCAAAGTCTGTAGAACAGCGGACTTCTCTGATCCTGGTTGGGCAATCTTCCAATGCTCTGGACTCCGCCTTCGGGTTTCAGCCTTTGGGGAGGGTTTTGTGCTTTCGGGAGCAAGCCTGCCTGTCCTCAAACCCGATAGAACCCCTCTGAGTGGGTGCCGCAGAAGATGTTTTCAGTTCGAGCCTTGAGACATCAGGTTTGGAGGGGTTTTGGCCCTCCAAATCAATTATGCCTCTCTTGTACTACTCTGGCTTAATCGGAAATCATAAGGATCCTAGATTCAGGTTGGAGCAACCAAGAAAGTTTGCATCTGGAAAACCCACTTTTGCATGTTGAATCCCTTGAGCTAGGGGATCTCATTGAGTGTAGGGTTTAGCGAATGGCAACTCTTATAGCAAGCCCCTATAAACCTCGAAAAGCTGTAAAACCCCGTCTCGAACCCTCCGAAAAGCAAACCGAATCCTCAATGAAGAGATGAGAAGAAAACACTCAAAAAGTTCTGAACGAACCAATAAAAAGGGTGCTGACCCCCCCACCCGCTCCCCTGTTTGATGCAGGTTGCGGCCATTGCGTGAAGCTCCGCCAGCGCAGGAAGCCCGGGCCTTTTAGCAGAATTGGGCTTTAGGGTTTTGGATTCAACAGGGCCATTATGGGTTCCTTTAAAGGGATCTACATGGACCCAAAGAGTCAGAGTTTTGGACTTTGGAACTTGGGTTGCGAGTTCCTTTAAAGGGTCCTACGAGGGCACGATAAGGATACTGTGAGGACTACGAGGACTACCATAGGGATGCCATATCAGGGCGTCGAGCTTTAAACAGGTTCTATATGGCTTTCAGGGTTTGCGGTCTTAGAAGGATTAACGTACAGATGCTATCTTTCAGGATGCTACATGGTTCTTACGAGGGCTCTGTGGGGTTCCTTACGGGCTCCAGGGCGCGTAAGGTCCAGTGCTTTAGAGGTCAGGGTTTAAGCCTTGATGAGGAATCCTAAAGAGGCTTTAACTGGGATACTATAAGCGGGTTAGGAAATTAAGGGAGTCGAATGAACAGTTTTAAGGTTTAGGGTGAAAGGCTTAGGGCTTCGGCTGTTGGCTTGAAGTTTGGGTTTGAGTTTGGGTCTTTCAAGTCCAGCTGCTAAGCCACGCCTTCGGAAAGCAACCAGAACAGTCCAAGCGCTCTCATAGCAGCCTCGGCTGCCTGGACAGGTCTTCGGCCTGCAATCCGCATCCTTCGAGGTAAGGCTGCAAAACCACCACTGCAAGCACTCTATTGGCTGCTTGCAAAACTGCACGTGCGTCCCATGCGGCTGAATCGATGGCTGGATGCTTCAATGGCAAAGGCGCGAGAGTCTCCACTTCGGCCCTTGGGTTGGGCAGGGACAAGGGGTCTCGAGCATGTCCACTGTGACATGCGCCCTCCGGCGCTTTGTCTTTTTAGCTTTGGCCGGAGTTCGGAGCGGCTGGGCGTGGCTGGACTCTTTTCACGGTGACACCCCAGCACGAGTGTCGCTGCCTCCGAACACAGTCGGTCGAGGTGCCAGGTTTAGGGCCTGCAGTTTGTCAGGACAATGACAGCATCGGATATTTCGAATTCTTTTGCTGCGTTAAAACGTCATACGTCCGACATGTATCGACCGACTGTGTTGCGTTTGAGATGCATGTTTCAGGGTTCAGGGCTTCTTGCAGGGTCCGGTCTAAGGGTTTTTAGGCTTCCTTTTTTTCAGCTTTCAGGCCCGAAGCCGAAAGCCCCACCCGAATCCTTCAATTCGAAACCGTGGACTGCTAGATCCTCCACCCCTACACCCTACAACCCCCAACCGTAGTATTTCAACCACTCCACTCTGGGACCGAAAAGCACCCCCTATGCTCACGTTGCCCCGCAACTCAAGTACTTAAACCTCGGACACTCTCCGAATAGATTATGGATTCCTTCCTGGTGAATTGGAGCATTCAAAACTTTTTACGAATCCGGAGATGCCCAAAACGATCTAAACTCCCACGGCAACCCCAAGGTGTGGCACTCTAAATCCGCCACCCTAAAAACCGACCTTATCCCCGTGGGGCTAAGCCCCCTCGACCCTCCTCCAAAAACCTGTAGAACTCTTGTACAACCCCAACAAGTAGGTAAGTCAAACCCTTAACCCTAAATGCCCTAAACACCCCTGAAGTCCCGAAACGCCTTGCAAGCCCGCAAAGCCCCAAAGGTGCGGAAAGACCTTAAAAGCCTCCCAAAAAAAACAAACCCCAAACCCAAGCGGGTGCCCGGACCCCGAAGCGCTGCGATGCGGCCGGGCGCTGCTTTGGCCTCGGGGAATCCAAGCAAGGGAGCTTGGGTTTCTTTTTGGGGGGGGGTTAGGGTTCAGGGGATGTCGGGACTATGCGATTAGGGGTTTAGGGATTCAGGCTTTAGGGTTGGGCTTTGGCAACATGTGGGCCATAAGAATCAGCTGAGGTTAAGAGGGGTTAAGTTTGGGCTTCAGGGGCTTTGGGCTTTTGAGTTTCGGTGCTCGTGAGTTAAGCGTCCACGGACGGTGTGGCAGGTATGCGCAAGCTATGCATGAGATAGTGTTTCTTAGGGCACTGAGACCCAAGTCGAATCTACCAGTACTTCCCAAGTGGCAAGACCCGGAAGACCCTACACTAAACCCCCTCACGCTTGACCCCGAAACCTTAAACCCTAAATCCCATACCTACAGCCTGAACTTGAGCTCAAATCCCGAAGCCCAAACACCCTGAAAGATCAATGGGCCCGGATCTGAGAATGGGATTTTTGTTCCTAAAGGCCTTGTTTACTCATGCTCGTATTCTTACTATTAAGGTCCGGCACGACGGAAGTCTCGCATCTATGGCGGAGTAACAGCATCGAGTCAGATCTTGAAACGGTTTAGGAGGACTTGACAAGAACTCTGCACGACGATGTAAAGTAAAGGCTGGAGACATTCCCCCAATTCTCCCGGAACCCTGCGCCCCAAGTCCTAAGTCCTCAATCTCAAGGCAAAAGCCCACACTCCAACCTTTATAGAACCCTTATAGAACTCATGCAGAAGCCTACAAGCCCCGTAGAACCCTTAACCCTCCAAAAGACAAGGAGACTGGGTCTTCGAGCTCCCGCAGCTGCTTGCACTGCTGTGGCTGCTGGAGGGAACCTCCACCTGCAGCCCAAGGGATTGGGGCCTTCGGTCTTCGGGGTTTCGGGTGCTCGGTCTTCGGGGTTTGGAAGTTGACGGTTTGTGACTTGCGTTTCGGGTAAGGCGCAGGAAGTAGTACCCGAAGTACCAGTACCAACTTAGAGTGAGTTGAACGGCAAAGCTTATTCATCAATTGGATAAACATCATACAGATGCTCGGCACAGCTTAACGAAGAATACGTGCATGAATCTTCTAGTGAAGAAGCGGCTTCAAAAACGAAGAGGCAAGCAGCAACAGCGATTACAACCACTTCAGCCGAGATAACACACACATCAGCGACGGCTATCATGACGAACACCCAAACAACGACAAGGATGATAACCAAGATTTACACTAGCAACACTACCAATAGCCGATAGCCTGCCTGGCAGGCTCCACCCGCCGGCGCGGAGACCAGCCGACGGGGCGGCCGCTGCGGCGGGCGAGGCGTGCGGCTGCGCAGGGAGACTCTGGCTCTCTCCACTTGACAAAGGCTTCAAACGTCTTTGGCTTTTTCGGTGTTGTTTCTGCAGGTCTTCGGAAGTTTTTTGAAAATGGGGACAAGCTTGCTGTGGGTTTCGTAGGTCAACGGCCCGGAAGCCAACAGCAGAACGACCAGAACGTCTGCCTGTCAATTGCATCCCGCCTCCTCTGTAGGTTTTCTATGCTGTCGTGTTACTTTTCTTCCTGTACGCAGCTTTCATGTTCGGGCTTCAAGTTTAGGTTGGGTGCAACGGAATATCGAACAAAAGAAAAGAGATGTGAAGTGCGTAGTGTACTGTCTGAACAAGCTCATCTTCATACCCAATGCTGAAGTGTAACGACTCATGATAGCAATGGCAGCCCGCCAAAACCCTGCTAAAGGTTGAGGACTTCGGATTCTTGGTCTCTTCGTTTAGGGTTTAGGGCCAGGGTGTAGGGCCTAGGGTGTAGTGATTAGGGTTTTGGGTTTGGGGTTCACAAAGAGACTAGTTTGGCCCTCACGCGGCCTTGGCTGTGCCGGAGTGGATGGCTGTTGCAAGACCATCTTGGCCTCAGACGCTGCGGTCCGAAGTGGAGCCGAAAAATATAGAGTGGGGCCTTTGGACATCGTATACTGCGTGTACAAGACCTTACCCAAGAAGGCATACCAACAGACAGCAGAAGCAAAAAACACTCAGGGCCCAGTGCGCAACCCAAAACCCAACGCCTCAACGAATCCTCAGCTCAGGGTTAACAGAGTTCCAAACCGTGTACGGTTTGGGGTTTAGACTTTAGGGCTTAGGATTTGCGGATTAGAGTTTAGGCTTCAGGGCTTAGACTTCACGGTTTGGGGTTGAGAAATTGTGTGAGAGTTCTTAGCTCCACACGTGTGCTCAAGCTTTCAGCACAACTCCAGGGTTCACAGCTATGGAAAGTTGTTCCGCCTTGTATGGGGCTTGCTCTACAGCGGGCTCCCTTTCTTAAAGATGCATCTGTTGACTTGCGAGCAAGGCTTCGACGGAGGCCAGGATCTAGGAAAGTAACGCAAATACAGCACCCAAGGACAGCCGAACTTCTGACTTGAAGCCCATATTGAGGCTTTTTGGGCGTGGGCTGCTAGGGTTTAAGTTTAGCCACACAGGCAATGCAAGGAGAATGAGTGCTTCCAGTGATTGGTGACTCTGGTTGTTTCCTAAAAACCCTTCTGAAAAGACACCTACGACACAAAGGGTCAAGATAGTCTTATATGGCCTCAGCCGTGAATATATGAGAATGTATGGGATATACAGGGCTTAGGGACAATCCTACATAAACTATAACCCTAGCACATCTCTGCCTGAGAGTGCCGGAGGCTGGACTGCGAATTCAAACTAGCTCTTTAGCTCCCAAAAGCCACAGAAGTTTAAAGCCCCGACGAAGCTTAAACCCAAAACCCGTATCCCCAAGCCCTTATCCTCAAACAAAGAGATGAAACCCTAAACCCTAAACCCATTAAGGAAACCCAAAAGAACCACAAGGACAAGGCCAGGCCCCTGGCAGAACGAAGCTCCCGGTGGAGCTCGGAGCCTCGCTGAGGCATAGCAGGGTTTAGGGGTCTTGGGGCTTCGGGATTTTGGGGTTGGGGGTTTAGGGGCTTCGGGTTTTGGGGTTTAGGGTTTAGGGGTTTAGGGGCTTCGGGTTTTGGGGTTTAGGGTTTAGGGGTTTTGGGTTTCGGGATTAGGTTTATGGTTTAGGGTTTCGGGTTTTGGGTTTGGGGTTTTGGGGTGTAGGGGTCCGGGGGTTTAGGCTTCAGAAACAATGGGATTCAGACTTCAGCTGGTTGGGTTTCAAGCCGCGAGTCGAGGTCGTCAGGATGAAAGGCTACTGAGTTAGAGACGGGTTGAGAATTGTTGAAAGTTTAGGGTTTAGAGTTTACAGGGTTCCCTAGTCCAACGCATGAAGGATCTTTTCAGGTACGCACACCCGTCCCACCAAGAGGGAGGCTCTATGGAAAATGGGGGGGGGGCTTCGAGTCACATGTGCGTCGTGTTGACCGTGGTACCTTGGGTCGTCTCCATGTCCCTGAGCTGCTGCTGAAACCTGGCAACAATCACCAACTGCTCATCGCTGCTGAGCCGGCCCCACCATGCGTGGTCGACAGGAACTTCCCAAGCTCGATCGTGATCGTCTTCAACCAAAATGACCCCTTCATTAGGACCCTGGCTCCGCGACATGTTTCGAGGACCGCAAGGCGAATGCTGTTCTTCTCTGGATACATCCTTCTGCAGCTTCAGGCTGACGCTGCCGCCACCGAGCTGATCCTGGCGCCGCCTTGCGTTTGCCTTGAGGACGACTTCGGCCGAGTCTGTTTGACTAGCCAATCCGGCAGGTTAAAGGCTTGCCGAGAGCTCCGAGCTGTAGAGAAAGATCGCCGAGCCAAGTCTCACACACCTTACTTGTATGTCTTTGCTATAAAAGTGCTCATATGCGCCAGCACCATCATGACTACCGGCTCCCCCCCCGCGATGTTTTCTGCGGTTCTGATATTGGTCAATCCAAGGGCTCGGAGCACGATCTTTGCGATGATGATGGTCGTGGTGACCGTGCTGACGGCGATACGAATAACGAGGATGAAGTGGTGATGGTTTTGACGGCGGACACGTTGAGGATTCTCATGATCAGGACGGCGGTGATCCCGGTGGCAGTTTCTGTGACTCATGCGCCAAGGACTCTGATTGCCGATTCTGCGCGGGCCTGCTCGCGTGGTGTACGACACTGTACGAAAAATTATGCATTGGCATCTGTTCAACTTTTGAAGAAGTGTTGATGCATAAGGTGTTTATTCTGCTCTGTTTTGCTACACTGACTTTCTCTTAGTCATTCATCTACTGTTTCCCTCAATACGCATTCAACACTTACCTGTCTGAACGTCTTGCTTCGAGTACCGTCGATGAAATCATCAGCATCACACTTACAGTTTTTGTTCGCCTTATTCCAGTCTTTTTGCGTTAGCAGCTCCTCTATCGATACTGTTATCGTTAAGCTGCTACTAGGGTGATGACGGTGCTGTTGACCATGAGCCCGTGTATAAACCCTAAACTTAAACCCAAAATCTACACCCTAAACCCTTAACTTGCACTCCCAGAACTCCAAGGACCGTAAAGACAAGGATGATGACGACCGAGAGGAGTATTTAGGTGATGATGACAAATAATTAAGGCTCTGCTTATGATCTCGGGACCAGGCCTCACGAACTTGACACTAAAGCGGATTCAATTTAGCCTTACAGCTTAGATTACCTTTAGAACTTAGAACCTTAAAACCCATGAACATCTCGTAGACCCTATCACCGAGCCTCACAACATCCTGAACCCGCCAAGCATAAATTAAAAGTTGTTCTGCATGGACCAACATCTGCAAAAATGTCTTGTATCATGAAGTATACTGAACTCGTTACATCAACAAGTACGTCAAAGTTAGCGGAGCCGGAATTCCCAGCAACTCCCAGAACCTAAAGTCCCAGCATGCTCAGGTCGCGGCGATGGCGCTCGAGGAGGTTTGCCAAACGCTGCCTAGGCATCAAAGGAGTGTAATTAGGGCGGAGAAACGCGGATACTGTAGGGCCTTGAGGTATCTTGTCTATCCTAAGAGACCCTTACAGACTAGCATAAGCAATAAGCCCCCTTGCATTACACGCTGCTTTCGATCGTGGCTTGGCAAACCAAGCCAAAGCAGTACGCACAGCCAAGTAGGGCCCAACCTACCAGAAATCCTCGAACTTTGCTCTCCGTGATAGCAATTGTCCTGCGTACAGAATAGTCTTTCAAGTTTAGGGTCTGAATTTAAGGTAGATAGAAGCAAGAACCCCAAGCCCGAAACCCCAAACCTCAGAAGTTCTCTGGCCGAAGTGCAGCGTCCTCGACGCGCCCGGAGCCGGGGAAGTCGATGTCTGGCGCGGGGATGCTGGCTCCAGGTCTAGCTGTGTCTTCAATGGGGGCCATCCATATACAAAAGCATATATATATGTATGTATGAATAAACATCTGCATATCTTTAATAAGTATTGCTTGCGATTTACTCGTCAGCTACTAGTACCTGACTATTTATTTGCTGATTTGTCTATACTTATACATGCATACGCGAATACGAGTTCTTCATTGTCTGAGGTTTCTGGCTTCTTCCAATCGATCTTTGTTTGAGTTTAACTTCTTTCGACACGAAACCACGCATCGTGAATTTCTCATGAGGGGTTTGGCTTCTTGGCAGGGTCGCACTTGAGGTTTCGAGACGAAGAGCTTAACCTTTGAGGTTCTGTAGAAAGCCAGAAAGCAAGCCCCCGAAGAGGAGGGGCCGGGGTTCAGGAAGTCGCGCAACGCTCATAAGCCCTAAACCCCAAACCCAAGTCCTCACGGGTCCGCTCGTACACTGCAGCCTCGAAATCCCACGCTCCAGACCGAATGGACGGTTCAGCTCTTAAGCTAGAAAAGGGGCGTCAATAAGTGGAGTAGTGCTACCTTTTTAGGAGCCCCTCTTCAAGGTTAGACAACATAGGTTCTACCCTTCTGAAAGGATTTTTGGGCAGCCCTACGGAATAGTGCTGGTAAGTATGTAAGCTTCTAAAAACGGGCAAGGGTATTATTGGTTTCGGAACGATTGGAGCGATTTAGGGTCCTTAATCATCAGAATAGGGTTTCGTATCATCAGGAACCGTAGGGAATAGTATAAATATTGCTGGTGGTGTTCCCAATGCTGTTCTATTTACCAACCAGACCCGAAACGGTCTAGAAGCCCTCCAGCAACCCAACGACTCTCTAAGAAACCCTACGAAACCCACAAGAAACCTTACGAAACCCCACAACAACCCCCAAAGCCTCCGCCCTCAAAGGCTCCGAGATGCCTCGCGCACGGGGCCCACGCGCATGGCGTCGGAGGCCAGGCCTTCTGAGGACTTTTGTCTCCTCTAAGGGCTCCCAAAATGCATTCCTCTTGATAAGGGTTCCATTTAGGGTTCCTTTCAGAGGGTTCCTTTTCGGGGGCAGGGTTTCGAGATTTGGGGGCGAGACAGAAGGACTTTGAGGACTCTGGGGTTTAGAGTTTTGGCGTTCAAGAGGTCGAAGGTGTCGGGCTTTAAGGCATGTGATTTCGGCTTTTCGAGCTTTTCCGCCCCCCCCCCACCCCGCCCCATCTCTGTCCACTCCCGGAGCAAAGCGCCCCTCTTTTTTACTGGTCCTCACACGGCCCACGCCCCTTTCCTCGCCTTGCTTCCACTTCCTCCTTCCGCAGCAGCCTCAAATCCAAGAGTAGCCCCTGCCTCGGGCTCAAGGATTAGCCTCGTCCTCGGAGTTCGGTTCGAGGCTTGAGGTTTCGGAGGGTTTAAGCCCTTTTTCTCGCATCTACAAAAATTCCGCAACAAGGACTCAGCCCTCCTGCCTATACGCTGCTCAAACACCTGGATGTTTTGAGGTCCTTGAGGACTTGAAAATATTTGGCTACACCCTCCCTCGCTTGACCCCCGTGCCACCGCAGCCCCTGCCCTCTGGAGCACACCAAGCGCTTACACTAAGCCTTAAGCTTCTGCCTACTCTCCTATGCTCCGAAGCAGGCAAACCTTCGTGTTGTGGCTGGGTTACAGGCTCGCAGGCCAACGAACTAGAAGAGTTGCTGTTTCCCTCTAACCAAGGGTCCAGACAGTCAGGTGAAAGTCGCTATGATGTGCCTTGCTGGTCAGGAGTTAACACATCCTTACATTATGCTAATTCTGTGAAGTTCTCGAAGACCCGATCATTAACCCATTCCGCGAACCCCACAAAATCCAAGCCTTGGTGTGCGTCAATCAAGCCCTATGACAAAAACCTGATAAAGCCCAATCAGTGGACCCAGAACGCACCCTGAACCCTTGAAGCCTGAAATCCATCCTGATGCCTAAACCTCAAACCCCGCTGCATGTCCAGCTATTAGAGAGACCATACATGTATACCAACTTTGCAACATGATTCCAGGTCACCTACAGCTACTGTCACCTACACAGCTACCAGAAAAGAAGCTAACCGTAGAACCGGACCCTCAACCCTACACCCCAAAAGGCCCTAAACCCAGCCTGCTCGTGGCAGCTGTACTAACCGCGTCACGGGTTCCACAAGTAACGGCTCGGGGGAAACCATGGCGAGAACAGGCTGAGGAAAACTCGGTTTCAGGGTATGGGGATTAGCGTTTCAGAGTGCAGGATAGCTAAGGTGAAAGAGGTGTTGAAGAGTATGAGTAGGGGCTCGTATGCCTTCAGCCTTTAAATCTTTCCGACGACGCACAGCAACGTGGAATTATCGGCTGGTCCATCCGCTGATGCCTTCGAGTTTCGAGCCAAGCCTGGAACCGCAAGCTGCAAGCTTTAGAGCTTAAGGGCTTGGGCTTAGAGTCTAGAGTTCAGGGCAACCTCATATCCCGCCCACACCCCTCAGCCCTAAAGCCTCTAAACTCCAAAGCCTACAACACCCTTTACCCGAAACCCTAAACCCGCAGCCCTAAACCACTGTATACGAAGTCGAAGCCCAAAGGCAAGCCTCCAAACTGAGGCCAGCGAGCTCTTTCTACAGGTTGGCTTGGGTTTTACGGAGGTTGAGGGTGTGGGGCTCAGGGAGTGTAGCGCTTAGAGTTTTAGGTTGGCTGGGATTCTTTTTTGCATGGTCTTTGCGTTGTTCTCTGATGGGTTCTTTGAATCTTCGAACTGAGGCTTGAGGAACGCGTTCAAAACCTAAGCCACAAACCACTAAAATCCGAGACTCCAAACCTTACACCTTGAACCTACACCGCACCCGAAACGGTAGAGTTCCACACCAAACCGTGTAGGAACCCTCACGGGAACTCTTACAGTTCTAAGAAGCAGATGCAACCCCCCTTATGGGATCTACCTTTGGGTCCTTCCAGGATTCTAAGTCAAGAACGTAGACCCTACACCCTACAAACCTTTCCTTTCAAGAAACCCCAACACTCGAAATTCAGATCCTCTAGACCGGGGCCTCGAGGCGAAAAGCCACGGAGGCTCGCGCTAAAGGTTGGCAGTCCTGGCTTGGGACTCCCACACGGGGTAAGTTAGGGTCCAGTTAGGGTTTGGGTTTAGGACGACAGTGACAAGATTAACGAAAAACAGCCGTAATCACAACATCACTAATCATGACCTCAACAACTGCAAGCAGGCCTGAACTCAACCCGCCAAGAATCGACCATCGAGGCAACTTAAAAGATCAAGCAAGCTTGAACTCCACACTTCCAGAGCCCCAAACCCCAAAGCCCAAAGCATAAACCCCTAAACCCTACATCCAACACCCCTGCACCCGGAATGCTTAAAGAAACCCTTGGCAGGTTGCGGGTTTGAACGGAGCCCCTACCCCTGTAGATTATTTATGGATTGCAAGTAGGACCCTTAAAGCCCCTTTCGAACGCTCCTAGATCCCTGAAGCCTCAAAGAGCCTTATATAGATCCCATAAAGAACCGTTATAGACCCCTTGTAAGGAACCCTGAGCACGAAGCCACAAACGGGTCCCACGTCCCATCGTCGCGCTTCCGGAGCCGTAGGACGAGGTCCGACCTCTTGGGGGCTTCCCTCGATCCCCTTGCAGGGTTTATCGGTTTATGGGTTTTAGGGGCTAGGGCAGAGTTCTATGTGGGTCTAGAAGATTTTCTAGAAGACTTCTAGAAGGGTTCTAGAAGAGTTCTATAAGTGTTCCATAAGGGCTCTGAGCATTCTATAGGAGTTCTTGAAGAGATCCGAAAGGGTTCTATAGACGAGTACTACAAGTGTGTTAGAAGGTTTCTACTCTATAGTCTATAGTTGTTTTCGAAGGGTCCTAAACGAGTTTTACACGGGGCTGAAAGGGTTAAGACGCAGAGGCTGGAGTCGTCAGTACGATCGCGATCGAGGAGCTCACACATTCAGTGGCACAGCCTTCCTAAACCCGCAAAGATTCCATAGAGGCGGGGAATAGCGGGGGCCTGAACCACAAACAGGGCTTCATGATACATGATATGTAGCCCACATTAGCGTTCGAGGCTTTACTGGCTTGAAGGATCCTGGGCACTGAGAACTAGAACCATCAGAATCATCTTATACAAACTACAACCCATAATTGTATATATATAAACTCCATTATGATTATAATACTATTCATAGTAGAAAGAAAGGCAGCTGCAGCCATACTAGACACTGCCGAGCTCCCCGCGTGCGGTAGCGCTTCAGCGGGAGCGGAGCCTGCACTGCCACGGGCTAAGTTCGCGCTTGGCCATAGATTGCGGGAGCCCCTCCCCATGTTGGAAGTGAAATCCTTTCCCGGTTTCCCTCAATGGGGGATTCCTACGAAGCTACAACGATCCCTAAATTCTTGTGCCCTTGAAGAGCATGCACTTTCAAATAAGCTCTGTGGGAGTTTAGGGGTTCAGGGCTTAGACGCTGGAGGGTTTGGATTGGAGGAAAATTTCCGTGGATGGCAGCAGCTTTGGCTTTTGGGGGATAGGGTTTACGCAGGGCTTACAACATGAAATCTTCTTTGGAGGATAACCTTCCTGTTCATCCGTATACTCGTGCCGGTGCGAACTTTCAACCCCTTGCACATACATAGACTGGTCGTTGCCCCCGACCTGATGAAACGCACTCTGTGGCTCAACTTCAGCACCGCTCGGAAGGCAGAACTATCGAGGGTCCAAGGTGGAAGCAGGTTTGCTGCATTGTATGATAGTATACAACAATGTAGTTACGGTCTTCTAATGGCATGTTAGGTCTAATTTGGTTAGATATAGCATGAGCTACCTGTCGGGCTTGTCATCCGTGGACATATCTCCGTAACTGAAAATCCCACAAGCCGGGAGCCACTGACAGCCCAAGACAACACCGGACACCTAGAAAACAAGCTCGATGTAATGTAATCTGTCCAAGACAGCAGGAACCCAGTTTGTCCCTTGTTGCCTCCGTCAACTCACGAATCCCTCGTCAATCAGCATCCTATCCTGACTCCTGCGCCTCCACCAACAAGCCCAAATGCCGCGATTCAGACTGTAACTGGAACATCTGATTCAAACTTCATGAACCTACACGCCGCCAGAGCAGCCCCATAACGCCCCACACCCTGATTGCCCTCAACCCTGCTTTGGGGTTTAGGGCTTCGCGGGATGACGCGTGAACAGCTCCCCACAACCCATGGGAAAGCCCAGAATCCTTCAAGAAATCCAAATGACTTTATAATCGAAACTCGTGTGAAAGCCAGATACCGTCCGAGAAACCCTGGTAAAGCTCGTCCGGAAAACTGACACAACCCTTCTAAGAGAAACCTTTGCAAATCCCTGAAGGTTGAAACCAATCCCAAAAACAAAAACCCTGAGCCCCCAAACCCTGAGGCCCTCAATCCCTGAGCCCCTAAACCTTGACCGAAACGCTCCTGGTACTGATACTGCCGGCAGAGGCGCAAGCGAAGCCTGTGGAAGACCCCATGCAGGGCCCCAAATGCACAGAAAGGCCAATGAGGGCATAGTTTTTCGTTATTGCCTTTACTAGTTAGAATTCAGAAAGCAAATTTACTTATCTTCTTCATTTTCGATCTTACTAGGGGGAAGGGGTGAAGAAAATTGAAGGCCCCTTGCTTCAGCAAAGGGTTGAGAGACTCTGTCGATCCTACTAGTTTAAGATCTACATGAGGCGTCCCATACTTTTTCAGACTCGGCTCTGAAACACAAACAGAACCCGAAATTACTTTTGAATTATGTCCGGATGTAGGTTTCTGAACTTCTCTTCGCTATCCGGGTGGGATGCAGGGTTTCCGGGTTTTGGATTTGGGATGCAGGGTGAAAGACTTTTGGCTGCTGCGCTGGTCTGTGGTTCAGATCCCTAGGAAGGGGGCCTGGTGAAGGTTTCCGGGTTGCACTGCATGGTAAGCCTGGTAAGCAGTAAGGTGCTCAAGTACTGCGAGCTTAATCTTGCATACGATGCTTTCGGATCGTCCTTCCTGCTCTACCGTTCAGCACAAACGGACGCACCAATCCGCGGACACCCTCTCAGAAGGCCACCTTGTTTGGCTAACGAACAGCAGAACTGAACCAAAACGGCTGTTGAACTGCCAACCCATGGACTAAACCCCTGAAGGGTAGATTACATGTACCGCGACCTTCAGTTCTGCAACCCTAAACTCGGAACCCCAAGCCACCCCAAGCCCGAAGCCAAAAAGCACACTAAACCCTAAACCGGCGTCAATGATTTGAAGAGGGTTTTGGGCTACATCTGCGTATCACTACAATAGTAGAATAGGAACCTAAGGCAAAGCACTGGTACTTGTTCAAGCTTCTGTAGCTCACTTACAATATACCTATCATAAGTCAACCTGATGAATAGTATTCGTAGCTACTACTTGGTCAGGCTTCCATATTACAAGGTGCATCTGAGTACGGTACAAGTATAAAGGTAGAATAGAGTACTACTTGGAGGTTCATGGGTAGTTATTAGTGGGGTTATAAGTAGGGCAACTATACTTGTAAGCCATACGAGTATTAGGGGCCTTATAACCCCACTTATAACTACCCCTGAACCCTAAACCCTAAACCCTAAACCCTAAACCCCTAAACCCTAAACCCTAAACCCCTAAACCCTAAACCCTAAACCCCTAAACCCTAAACCCTAAACCCTAAACCTCCAAGTAGTCGTAATCTTCAGCCCCTGGCCTTGCTTTGGCCTTCGCTTTCAGTGCCTCCGCTACAGCGGGGCGGCCCCCTACAGCCGCCTTGGCGCGGAGAGCTTCGTGGCTTCGCGCTTTACAAGGCCTTGGGGCTTTCAGGGTTTAGGGATTAAGGAATCGGAATGGTTCCAGGAAGGTTTGCACGGTTTCGAGTTTGGGGTTTAATCCTTTTCAGTGTCATATCTTCTATTCCTGGTCCTGAAAGGTGCGGAGCGCAACATGCCAATCGAGCACCTTAAATCCTGGAAGCCCTACACGCTTCTAGAGCCCATTTTGCACGCTTCCGGAACCCTTGTAATAATCCTTATAGGCTCATCGTTTTGATACGGTTTTAAAGGATGATGAGAGAACCCCCTGGCTCTGACTCGGGTCCTAAACAGGGATCCTATCATTTAACAGCGTCCTATGTCAAATGCTTGAGGAACACGCAGCTTGCCCTCCTTGGCATGCA